AGAGCTGGATGAACACAGCAGGCCAAGCAGCATCATAGGAGCAGGAAGGCTGACGTTTCGGGCCTAGACCCTTCATCAGATGCTGCTTGGCCTGCTGTGTTCATCCAGCTCTACACCTTGTTATCTCAATACAAATGGAGTCTGAGCCCCGATAAATGCCTGGTTCACTCAGCTTCGTTCATCCCCAAAGCAAGCAGTTTCCTCTGAAATAAGTAAATGAAAAATGTGTTGCAACTCACCATGCTATAATGAGTCAGGATGTGGCTCCACGCCAACACACCCTGCTCCTAATTACAGCTGCGCTGTTAAAGGAAGGTGCCAAGTGGAGATTAAATACTTTCTCACAAGCTGACAGATGAGATGGAAGAATATCAAACTCTCCAATTAGGAGCATTACTATGGCTTGTCCCAGTTAGGACAGGGCTACACAGCAACAATAGCAGAGCCTGGGAATTGGTCATCTGGCTCGCTGAGAATTAGACTTACATCATAGTCCATTGAAAACAGAACAAAAAAGGAACAAGAGTTTACAGGAAATACATTATTAAAAAATTAAGATGCCAGTCTGACCACTTCACTGGCAAGTCTTAATGGATGCAATGGCACATTGTCTGCTGTGATGCAAATGAAGGTCTTTGGTACCCAGATCTAGAAGCTTCCTCAGTTTCACACACTCAAACTCACCAGCACAAACGATTACAGTGAGGAGTGGCTGTTACTTCATATTTCTTTAAACCAATCACAGTGCTACAATGGCTAAGCTACATAATGAGTTGAACAAAGATTAAATTGGACATTTAAAAAAAAATCAGGTCCCTTTATCATAGCAAGAAGTCACAAAAAAATTTCACTCAGTGCTTCCATCCACCCATCCAACATTAACGGCTTACGCAGACTCCCCCAGGGACTAACACAACTTTTACCACTCCCGAGAGTAAGCAGTCAATATATTCCTAATCTTTCTTCTGACTTGTCAACCAGAGAATGGACATCTGAGATTTAAGGAATGGCAATGGTCAAAGGATACCTGAAGAACTGGACTCCTCACTACAGCCTTACAAATGCCTCATGATCTCCACACTCCTCCGGTTCTTTTACATTCTTTACTTTACTCACTTTTCCTACCAACACTAAAAGATTTATTTTCTGGTAGTTTCTCTTAGATTCTCCATTTTCCTTTAAAACATTTTGTAAAACATCTTTCTTTGGCCGAGCTTTTGTTCATCCTCTTAATATATCATACCTTTCACTGACAAATATTGCTCGATAATACTCCTCTGAAGTGCTTATGGATGCTTTACTGAAATCAAAAGGAGTTATTAAGCTGCAAAGTTTGTAATGATTGGGACCAGACGGATCTTTTGACTATGAGTCTCCTGACTTCAGGGACTGACTGTGAGCTGGCTGGTCACATATACTGTGCCCATGTAAATAAAGGGCAACTTGGTGATGGGATCCAGCCTCTGTGCAGCTATTTCAAAGTTATTTTACGTTTGTGGAAACAGACAGAAATTGTAATCAAGGTCTTTCTAACATCTAGAAACTAGTATCACATCGAAGCAAGTAGGCTGCTTAATGAGGACTGATCTCAATACTAAAACAGAAGTACAAAAGAATCAGACCTGAAGCAATGCAAAAGAGCAAATGCAACTAATGCAATGTTAATAAGTTGTTTAAGGTATAAGCCACACAAAAATATCAACAAGATCCAAAAAGATTTTCAAGGATGGTCCAGGAACTAAAAGGCCTACCCATCAGGAAAGCCTGTACAGACTGGGTCTCCTAATTAAGGGTCAATAAGAAGGGGGCATAATCTTAAGGTGAAAGGCAAGTGGTTCAGAGGAGACTGGAGGAAAATCTTCCTCACTCCGAGGGCGGTGGGAATCTGGAATGCTCTCTGTGGGACAGTAGTTGAGGTGCAAAACGTCACCACCTTTTTAAAAAAAAAAGGTATCTGGATAAGGACTTGAAATGTCATAACATTCAAGGCTATGAGCCAAGAGCTGGAAAGTAGGACTAGAGTAGATTTTGTTGATGCACACTTGATGGGCCAAGGGGCCTTTTCTGTAAATTAGGATTCTAAAGATTCTTTTTTCTAGAAAAGAGAAGGGTGACCTGAAAAAGGACTTCAAAATAATGAAGCTCTGCAGAGTTGATGCAGAAAAACATGTCTCCACTTATAGGTAAATAAGACAGCAGTTAATAAATCAAAGAGATTTCAATAGAAATGACATTAGCCAGACAGGGTGAGAATATGGAACTTGTTACCATAGAGGTGCAGTTCAGGTGAAAACACAATGAAGAAAGGAAAAGAGGATTATATTGGCACTGCTAGACAAAGTCACGCAAAAGGAAGTTTGTATGGATAGGAGCCAAATGGCCTGTTCAAACTGCAAATCCATTGTAATATTGTTTCTGATTAAGAACAGATCTGAAGCTAAAGAAGACAAATTAGCAAATAAAATCAAACAATTCACAGAATTCCATTTCCTGGAATGCACATGTTCAAAATCAAGCTGGAGTGATTCCTTCAAAACCGGGGAAGAGAATGGGGGTGGGGGCTGGTGGGACAAGTGTATGTGAATGTACAGAACAATTTTGTATAGCATTTTCTTCTGAGTTCCGCCTCCAAGTTGGTCATCTGTATGCAAAGACAAAACTTCATCAGGCAGCGAGCAGAGGGATAATTCCAGGATTTGTAGTGATGGAGAGTGAAGAGCTTCACCCAAAGAACAATTTTTGAAGGCAACATAATTGAAGAAAGCCGAGGCCAGCAGAGGCCTTTTGTGAAGGCGCACAATAAAGTCCTAGTTACACGATGCAAACAGACAGTCAAGCTGAATGGGTACAAACAGAAGTGGCCTTAATCTATTGCTGTCTACACAAAACAGAACTTACGCAATGTTTGTAAAACCATTCCAAAACATAATTAAAATATATTTTAACTATTTCATTAAGTTTCCCATGAAACAATATGGAATCAAACTCCATTCTTAAAATCTTAATAATAATTTGTAGTGGAACAAATCTCGTTTAATTGTTTGTAATGAACCAAATGTAGTGCAGCATTGGAATGAGACGACAGGTTGAACTAGGGAGAGATTCAGTGCTTTCTGAGATAACACAGTGTGGAGCTGGGGGAACACAGCAGGTCAGGCAGAATCAGAGGAGCAGGAAAGCCGATGTTTCGGGTCGGGATCCTTCTTCAGAAACGGGGGAGGGAGGTCCCAACCCAAAACGTCAGCTTTCCTGCTCCTCAGATGCTGTCTGGCCTGCTGTGTTCCTCCAGGTCCACACTGTTATCTCGGACTCCAGCATCGGCAGTTTTTACTGTCTCTCTTCAGTGCCTTCTGAATTGCGTTATTGGACAGACTGTTCGCCAGCTATCACAGAAGTACAATACTCATTTGTTACTTGTAAAGCTTTAAAACATACTGAAATACTGGCCTCTAAAAGGGTTAGGATGATAGAGATTAAAGGCTTGAATTAGGAGGAAAGTTGACATAAAAAATTGATCTGTATCCCCTCGAATTTAGAAGGTTGGGGGGCGTTTTGAGGAAATGTATAAATTAAAGAAGTCAACTAGATGGGAAGATGATGGCCTCGTGGTATTAGGTGACGAGACTGTTGACCTAGAGACTCAAGTAAATGTTCTGGTAGCCTGGGTTCAAATCTCACTACAGCAGATGGCAGAATTTGAATACAATGAAAATCTGGAACTAAACGTCTGCTGATGACCATTAAACAATTTTCAATCACCAGAAAAATCCATCTCGTTCACTAATGCTCTTTAGGGAAGGAAATTTGCTGTCCTTACCTGGTCTGACTGAAATGTGACTCCAGACACACAATGTGGCTGACTCCTAATTACCCAGGATGGGCAATAAATGCTGGCCTAACCAGTGGATGCCCACATCCCATGAATAAATAAAAACTGCATAAATACAGGCTCAAGGGACCAAATGACCTAGCCTCACTCCCCTTACCAACATGGCGACATTGCTTTGTTTGGTCAGGGAATCCAGAACAATTCAGCACACTTCTAAAGGACAGCTAGACCTTTTCTTTCGAGAGTAAAATCTAAAAACTTCTTTTCACACAAAATTCTGGTCCTCACTCCTGCAAAAGGCTTGCTGGAGAGCAAATGAATACTTCCAAGATGAGAGAGATAGATTTTTTTTGTCAGACAAGGTATTGAGGGAAATAGAACTGCAGATGAATGGAGTTGAGGTACACAACAATGAAAGGAGCTTGAACGTTTGAATTACCCACCAGCAACTGTGTGGATACTCAAAACACAAGGCTCAAAAATATCAAATCGTTTCCTTATAGTATTGAGGATGGTGGTGTTGTGTCATGAAACCAGAGTGCAAGCTTTTTATTTAAATTCATTCACAGGTTGAGGGTGTTGCTAAGGTCAGCATTTGGGGCCCATCCCCAATTACCCTTGAGAAGATAGAAGTGATGAGCCACCTTTTTTGTGGTGATGGTGCTCCAATGGGGTTGTTACCAAGTGAAGTCAGAAAATTGAGACACTGAACTAGCTTTGGAAAGCAACAAATAAAAGTTGATTTTTACACCTGTTTGGTAGAGTTTTCATTTAAACTGTAAACCTTCCTGCAAGGAAGAGAATCTGCCATGACTCCATTCCCACAACAACAGGCTGGCTTTTCATCTCCTCTGATCTGGTCTAGCAACCCAGTCAGTTGCAAAAATTAAACAGCTGTGAGGCACCTATAAACCAGCCATTATACAGATGTTTATCAATCAGCTGATGAGTCTGTTGTAAAATGTCCAGAAGGAACTATGAATATATTTTTAAAATTGGCCTAGAGAAAGGCTGATGACTTACGGGTAACAGAGATTTTGGAAGAATGAGCTTTTCCAAAGCCATTCATTTTTGAAAAGTTCAATTATTCGGCAAAAGGCATATTCTTGACACCTACTAGTTATGTGGCTGTCTGCCTACTTCCATAGGTAAATAGATAAATAATGGCTCTTCACTTGATGACACTGGGCCCATTTAGTGAAACAGCTTCAAATAGAATCCTTTGTGTTTAATTTTTGGGAATGTCAGCAAGGATCAACTTCTATTAAATAAAAACTGCTGAAATCGATGATCACGAACTAGCCACATAATCAAGGGAAAAACAGTAAATGCATATTTGCTGGTTCCACTGCCCCTTCCAGGAACTGAAAAAAGTTTTGAACTGCAAATATGGAGACTATAGCAAAATATAAACTCAAGGACAATAAATGGAAAACAATGGGTGCAGGGGAGGCAATGGCCCAATGGTATTATCGCCGGACTGTTAATCCAGAGACCCAGATAACGGTCTGGGGATCCGGGTTTGAATCCTGCCAAGGCAGATGGTGGCATTTGAATTCAATAAATATCTGGAATTAAGAATCTAATGATGACCATGAATCCATTGTTGATTGTTGGAAAAACCTATCTGGTTTACTAATGCCTTTTAGGGAAGGAAACTGCTATCCTTAGCTGGTCTGGGCTACACGTGACTCTAGGCCAACAGTAATGTGGCTGACTCTTAACTGCCCTCTGGGCAATTAGGGATGGGCAATAAATGCTGGGCCAGCCAGTGACACCCTCATCCCATGAATAAATTAAAAAAAGGTTAAAAATCTTATCCACTCAACCTTGCTGCATTCAAAGGGAGAAGTACGAAAATGGGCATCCATCACACCACGATTGAAATTTTGACACTATAATTAACTTTCAGAATACCAAGGGTCAATCAAAATCCAAAATACTTGGTTTGAAATATTGATGGGTTGAGAAGACAATGAAGCTTTTGTGGAACATAAACAACAGCATGAAGCTGCTGGACTGGGTAACTCTACATAAAGAGACAACATATATTTTAATCGCTTCAAGATATCACACAGCACTTTACAGTCAATTAAGTACTTTTGTACGCAGGATACACAGTAGATAACCCAAGGCTTAATAATGAGCACTGCTGTAACATATTTACCTGCAGCATCTATTGCAGCAACCTCAACGCCATGAGACAACATTACATTGATGCAGGGAACATCTCCTTTAGCAGCTGCCACATGGAAACTGAAAAGGAACAGAAACCGAAAAGAGGTTAAAATCTGAACCATAGACAGGATGTTTTTATATCTCCAATTTTGTTTTCTTACATACTGCTATCATTCTACACACTGCTCTGATGAAGAGTCATCTGGGCCGGAAACATTAGCTTGCTGTCTCCACGGATGCTGCCTGACTCGCTGAGATTTCCAGCATTTTTTGTTCTCAACATCATTTTTCACGTTTCCTTTTCAAAAGGTCCAAGTTCACAAATGGCTTCAACCACACATGTACCCTTGATCACAGTCTTCTGTTTTGGTCAACCTTTGACTGGCATGACCTCAAAAACAGAACCAAGGTCAAACCACTCAATATCATCAATGCACTTCAGATTCCATGAAGGCTCCAATTAAGATTGAAACCAACATCCACAAGGACAGAACTAGAGAGAATCAAATTTAGACAGCTTTCCCTGATTTCTGTTTGTCAACTGCCTTTCCTTCACAGGGAGAAATTCCCAAAAACAACGTTTGCACAAGCCAACAAAAAAAAAACCAGTCCAACACCAAAAAGTTCTTCCCCTTTTAAAGTTGCTGCAAGACTACTTTGCACAATCAAATCTCACATCGTTAGTGATCTGATTATGTAACATTTGAAGCCAAATTTATTCCAAGAACAACGTAACTAAATTGAGAACACCAAATTGGCACAAGTGTGAGCCAGACCTTACTAACACTAAAAACTGACTAAGCACCCCTTTTTGGATGACCAGCTCTGGCACAGCACTGCATTGGAGGTTTTCAATTACTACACCCCAGCTAGAGTTCGTAGTGTTTAATAAAGTAAATCCTCAACAAAATACCACAAAATTAGTAGCAAGAATTCCACCTGAAACTTTTTGACTGAATGGGCCCGTCATTACTTAGCTTACAGCTTACCACATATTTATCTACACAAGTAGACAAACAGCCACTTAAATGGGTCAGTGTCAAGAACGTTTCTGGATTTTGCCGAATAATTGAACTTTTCAAAAATGAACGATTTTGAAAACACTGATTCTTTCAAAATCTGTACTACTCATAAATCAGCCGCCTTTCTGTAGGGAGATTACAAATGTATTTAAAGTTCCCTCTGGACATTTTACAACAAACCCATCAACAATTAAATCTTTCCGAACACCAGTAATTACAGAATTACTCATTAAAATGAATCCTGAGGTTACTAACCAAGCTTGTTTGAAAGTAAGAAGAGAACTGAAGTGTTGGCTCTCAATACCTACCATTTCTTGAAACAAACATGAGACAAGACTGGAATTAATTTCATTTTTCTTCTTACTGTCAAGTGACAGGAACAGTCAGGATTCAGCAAACATTGCATTCATACCCCCTACATTTCCAATTCACCACTCTCTTGAACCAGCTCAGCTCTCCTGCTCTGTTCTGCCCACCCTGTCCCAAAGCCCATGGCTCCAACTGAACTTGTTGCTCTCTGGAGGGAGAGAGGGAAACATCATTTCTGCAGGTTACAGAGTCTAGGACTTGGGACCATTGCATAAAGATTAGAGCTAGGCGGCACAGTGGTTAGCACTGAAGCCTCACATCACCAGGGACCCGGGTTCGATTCCAGTCTCGGGCGACCGTCTTGTGTGGAGTTTGCACATTCTCCCTTTGTCTGTGTGGGTTTCCTCCAGGTGATCCAGTTTCCTCCCACAGTCCACAGATGTGCAGGCTAGGTGAATTGGCCATGCCAAATTGCCCGTAGTGTTCAGGGATGTGTAGATTAGATGGGTTGTAGGGGGATGGGTCTGTGTGGGATGCATTGAGGATCAGTGCAGACTTGTTGGGACGAAGGGCCTGTTTCCACATTGTAGGGATTCTATGATCTTTCAGCAGTGAAGTTAGGAAATATTATTTCACACAAACAGCAGAAGAGATCTGAAACACTTCCACAGTAATTAGGGCAGCACGGTTTAGCACTGCTAAAGGGACCAGAGTTCAAACCTTCGGTGACTGTGCAAACTCCACACAGACATTCTCCCCGTGTCTGCATGGGTTTCCGCCAGATGCCCAGTTTCCTCCCAGTCTAAAGATGCGTAGGTTAGGTGGATTGGCCATGTTAGATTGCCCATAGTGTCCAGGGATGTTTAGGCTAGGTGGATTAGCCATGGAAAATGCAGGGTTACAAGGATAGGGTGGGGGGCTGGAACTCTTCAGAGGATCGGTGCAGACTCATTGAGACAAATGGCCTCTTTCTGCACTGTAGGGATTCTATGAATTAGCACTAGATCAATTGTTACATTTAAATTTAAGATCAAAAATCTTTTGTTCATCGAAAGGTACTGGGGACACGGGACAAAGGTGGGCGTGGAGAATTGGGGGCACAGTTCTGCCATTCAATCAGATCATGGTACAAGAAGCTCTGGATTCCAACTGGCCTCCTCCTGTCCCAATTCTTCTCCATGGTGGTTCATTGCTGTGACATGCCTCCCACTGCAAAACCTCTTCCCATTTACTAGGTTTGCAATGGAAACACTGCAATGAGTCACTTTGGCAGTGAGCTGCTCCAGCCCTATATAAATCACCATGTCAGAGGCTGCCAGGCAGGCAGGCAGGCAATGGGGAGGGCATTCACAAAATCTGACCATTCCCTCCACCATCTGACAATTGGCTGGTCAAACTCTGCACTTGTCACCAACCTACACGTCATACATAGGAGGCCCAATGAACAAATTAGGAGCAGGAGCAGACCAAATCAGCCCCTTGAATCTGTGCCACTTCATGAAGATCATGGCTAATCCACTTACTCCATTATCCCACCTGTTCCCAGTAATCTGCTGTCCTCTTTCTTTATCAAAAATTTACATAGCTCTGCTTTGAAAATGAAGCATTCTGCTTCCATTGCATTTTGAGGAAGAGAGTTCCAAAGTCTCTCAACTCTCAGAAAAAAGCCTTCATTTGTCTTAAGAGGGTGATCATTCAGTTTTAAGAAAAAAGTAACCCCCTAGTTCTCTATTCTCCCCCAGGAGGAAACTGGCTTTCTACATGCTCCCTATCCCTCCTTGAAACCTTTCAGTGTCACCATCTCTCTCCTCTGAGATGCTGCATAAAACCTAAATCTTTGACCAAGTTTTTCATCAACTGACTCAAAACCACCTTCCTGCTTTATTTGATAATGCCCCTGCAAAATGTCTTGGGGCATATTATTTCACCAAAAAGGTGCTATACAAGCAGAATTTGTTGTAATAGTACAAGGTTTACAATTTTTCCAAACTGTGCACTGGCTTAAGCAGCACTCCATGTCCTTCTCATCACAAAAGGTCCTTGAACCATTACACAGAATTAGTTCAGTCAAGTCAGGGGAACAGAATTAATGACATATTATTGCCAGACTTAATGGCTTTTTTCCTTTCCTAACAATTCTCGTATTCCTATTCAATTCATAATTTGTGATCTTTTGCAGCTGGGAAACAGTGACTAGTGCTTCAAAGAACAGGATACGTGGATTTGAAAACCACTCTCACAAGACACATTCAAGCCACTGACAAGTTAGAATTAAGCTGATGCAAAACATTTCACTGCATGGTGCAGTATAAACAAACACGCGAGATGTTTGGTGACACTGCAGCTTCGATAGAAAAACAGTGTTGCAAGGTTCCAGAGCAGGAATGTGATCACAATTTTTCCACATGACCAGTTGCTGACCTTAGCCGGGCAATTATGTTCCAAATCGTCCTTATTGCTGAATATACAGTCACACAGACAATAAACACATAAATCAAAGCCAGCCACCTTCCCTCTAATGAGAAAGTGGGGGTGGTGGGGAGTGGAGAGAAGGCTCTGGGGATGGTCAAGATGGGAAGTAATATACTTGGGGACAAAAGGTGCCCGGGGAGGGTGAAAAACATGTGTAGGGTGGACAGAGCTGCAGGTTTTGAAAACAGAGAAGACACTGATATAAGACACACGTTCACAAGTCTCCTGACTGAATAAGTAGCAAAAGAAACGTACACATACATGATAATACAATGTGTAGGTTCTGTGATTCTACAAGTTTACAAACCAAACTCCAGAACATAATCTGTGAAGTAATAAGATCTTGGCTGCCAATGGAACAGATCTGTTAAGACCCTGAAATTCAATACATTCTGAATTTAAACTGGGACTTTGTAGGAAGCTAGGGAAGCGATATCAGATATATCTGCATCATCAACAGCCAGGGGTGAGGTGCTGTAAGACCGGAGGGTGGTTAACTTTGTGCAATTATTTAAGAAATGCTACAAGGAAAAGCTGGGGAACTACAGATCAGTGGTGGTTGAAGTTATTGGAAGGGATTCTGAGACACAGCATTTACATGCATTTGAAAAGGCAAGGACTGGTTAGGGATAGTCAGCATCGCTTTGTGCATGAAAAAACATGTTTCAAACTTGACTGAGTTATTTGAAGTGATGATCAAGACGACAGATGAAGGTAAAGTGGAAGACAGAGACCTTGCCTATTCACCCTATCCACACCGCTCATGATTTTATAAACCTCTATAAAAGGTCAAGGTCTTTTCCCCAGGGTAGGGGTATCCAAAGCTAGACGGCACAGGTTTAAGGGGAGAGAGAGGGGAAAAGTTTTAAAAAAAGGAACCAGGAAGGGCAAATTTTTCACAGAGGGTGTTGCATGTATGGAGTGAGCTCCAGAGTCTGGTTCAATTACAACATTTAAAAAGGCATCTGGATGGGCACATATATAGGAAAGGTTTAGAGGGATATGGGTCAAATGCTGGCAAAGGGGACTAGTTTAGTTCAGGAAATCTGGTTGCCCTGGACAAGTTGGGCCGAAGGGTCTGTTTCCGTGCTGTATGACTCGACACGTTGGAGCGATGCTTTTCAATGGGTACTTACGCTGATCGACCCTCCACATCCAACTTAGTGCAGATTATTCCTCTTTTGGCAAGAACTGATGTAACTTTATCCACATCTCCCTTCTCCACTGCCTTCATCAACCGATCATCATATTTGCTCCAGTCGGATGTCTGTTTTAGAAACAAGAATATTGTATTAAAATATCTGATACAGCAATGGATCTGTAACATCTCAGTTTGATGAGACATGGTAGATACCCATTCCACATACCAGAGCTACTCTTTCATCCAATTTCAAGCTGGACATTAGCACCTGTTTCCTCCAGTCGCAGCAAGAATCTGACACGTCCAAGATTTAATAGCTCACTATTTACACACAACCACCCAGCATGATAGAAAGATACACAAGTGGACTCTTGTATTAAAAACAGTCCAGACAACCAATATATGACACTCACACAGCTCAATCATTCTAATCATCCGAAATTGCTTCTTTCTCCTTCAGGTCCCTTTGATGCTCCTTCCCAGCACACCGTTGCAGACAAATTTTCACCAAATTAACCAGATACCTGGACCCAAGTGGCCAGCTGTGAATCCTGAGGAACTGAACATGTCTATAAATGCAGCACTGACAGGTGCACAGCACCAGGAACAAGTGGTATAATCATGACAGTCAAAACAGACGTTTAGCGCAAATGGCTGATGCCTGTGTTTGCAATGCTTACAGGCCTCCTCCCACCTTATTGCATCTCGCACTACTAGTATCAGAATCCCTACAGCGTGGAATCAGGCCATTCAGCCCATCGAGTCCACACTGACCCTGCAAAGTGCATCCCACCCAGACCCTGTAACTCTGCACTTCCCACGGCTAATCCACCCAGCCTGCACATGCCTGGACACTCTGGGCAATTTAGCATGGCCAATCCATCTAACCTACACAGCTTCGTACCGTGGGAGGAAACCAGAGCACTTGGAGCAAACCTACGCAAGCATGTGGAGAATGTCCTCAGTAAAGGATTCACCTTCATTCCCCTCCACCCACACAATGAATTTCGTTCACATTTGGACGTCAAACACTTTTTCCTCTCCCTCCACGCCTATTTCTTTAACCGCAAGACTAACCCTCCCTCTACAAACCCTTTCTCCCACCTCCAACACACTCCATCCTCCTCGACACCATCCCAAGGCCTCCTACCCTCCCTCAACCTCTTCATCTCCAACTGACGTCGAGACATCAATCGCCTGAACCTCTCCACCCCCCTCACTCACTCCAACCTCTGCCCCACAGAATGTGCAGCCCTCCACTCCAACCCTAACCTCACTCTCAAACCCACAGATACAGGGTCGCAAGTAGTGGTATAGCGCGCTGACCTTTACATTGCTGAGGTCAGGCGCCAACTCTGACACCTCCTCCTACAGTCCCCTTGGTCACGACCCCAACCCCGACCACCAAAACATCATCTCTCAAACCATTCACAACTTCATCACCACAGGTGACTTTTCTACCCACAGCCTCCAAACCTCATCATTCCCCAACCCCGCATCACTGTTTCCCAAAATCCATAAACCCGACTGCCCCGGCCAACTCATTGTCTTTGCCTGCTCCTGCCCCACTGAATTTATCTCCGTTTACCTTGACTCTGATTTCTCCCCCCTAGTCCAGGAACTCCCCACCTACATCCAGGACACCATCCATGCCCTCCACCTCCAAGACTTCCAACACCTCACCTTCACTATGGACATCCAGTCACTGTATACTTGCATTCCCCACGCAGATAGCCTAAAAACCCTCCGCTTCTTCCTCTTCCACAGGCCCAACCAGTCCCCCTCCGCCAACACCCTCATCCGCTTAACCGAACTGGTCCTTACCCTGAACAACTTCTCCTTTCATTCCTCCCTCTTCCTACGGATGCATGGGCTCAAGCTATGCCTGCCTCTTCACAGGATATGTGGAACAGTCCCTCGTGCGCTGCTACACTGGCATCATCCCCCACCTCTTCCTCTGCTACAATGATGACTGTATTGGCGCCGCCTCATGCTCCCACAAGGAGCTTGAACAGTTCATCAACTTTAACACTTTTCACCCTAACCTCAAAATAACCTGGACCATCTCCAATACCTCCTGCTCCTTCATGGACTTCTGTCTCCATCTCTGGTGACCACCTTGAAACCAACGTCTATTTCAAGCCCACCGATTCCCACAGCTACCTTGACAACACCTCCTCTCACCCACCTTCCTGCAAGGATGCGATCCCCTCCTCCCAATTCCTCTGCCTCTGCCGTGTCTGCTCCCAAGATGAGGCGTTCCACTCCCGAACATCCCAGATGTCCTCTTATTTCAAGGACAGCAACTTCCCCCCACTTCGGTGGTTGAAAATGCTCTCAACCGCATCTCTTCCGTTTCCTGTACCTCTGCCCTCACATCCCCACCCTCAGCAAAAATAAAGACAGAATCCCCTTTGTCCTCACATATCACCCCACTAATCTCCATATCCAACATATCCTCTGTCACTTCCGCCACCTACAATCCGACCTCACAACCAAAGAAATATGTCCCTCCCCACCCCTACCTGCCTTTCTTGGGACCACTCTCTCTGCAACTCCCTCGTCCGCTCCACACTCCCCACTTACCCTACCACCGCCGGCACCTTTCCCTGCAACCACAGGAAGTGCTACACCTGCCCCTACACCTCCCCCCCCCCCCTCACCCCTGTTCAAGGTACCAAACTTTCCACATTGACGGATGTGCAGGTTCACCTGTCTAATGTGGTCTATTGCATTCCTGCTCCCGATGTTGCCTCCTCTACATCGGTGAGACCAAGCGAAGACTCGGAGACCGCTTTGTAGAGCGCCTGCGCTCAGTTCGCAACAAACAACAATACCACCCAGTCGCGAACCACTTCAATTCCCACTCCCTCTCCCTGGGCGACATGTCCATCCTGGGCCTCCTCCAGTGTCACAATGACGCCCCCCAGAAACTGGAGGAGCAGCACCTCATATTCCACCTCAGGAACCCAATGGCCTAAATGTGGATTTTACCAGTTTCAAAATCTCTCCACCCCCGGCCAACCCTCCCTCTCATCCCCTTGATCTGTCCATCTTCTCTCCTACCTATCCACCCCTCCCACCTCACTGACCAATCCCCACCACTCCCTACCTGCACTCTATCACCATCTCACCTACCGTCCCCAGCCCCACACCTCCTCTCTCTATTTCCCAGCTCCTTTCCCCCTCTCAATTTCTGAAGGAAGGTCCCAACCTGAAACGTCAACTTCCCTGCTCCTCTGATGCTGCCTAGCCTGCTGTGTTCCTCCAGCTCCACACTGTTATCCAGCATCTGCAGTTCTTACTAACTCCAACAGACAGTTGCCAGAGGCTGGAATTGAACCCAGGCCCCTGGTGCTAATCATGAGCCACCATGCCACCCCCACACATTCTCCTGTTCTTTTTTTCCTTAAACACATCTGTGCTATTCACCTTAAAATAATATTTCAAGTACAATATTCCTGCCATGTGCGTGCGCAGACTCCTTCAAGCCTGCAGTGGTATTGTGCATATGAGGACAATCACCTTTCTGGTTGAACAATAAATATTTCAGTGAGCAAGTAATGAAGTTTTAATAGGTTGATGGAGCAGAACTTGACTATTGCTTGAGAAAATACTTTTTGTCAAAGCTTTTTGTCTTGCACTCAACAGAAGAATTCACAAGAAACACCAATAAAAAGAAGATAAAGCAGGAAAACAAATGAAAAGGAGATCCTTTGACAAAAGTGGTACCTTTTCTCAGCAATACTTAAATCTGAAGTTTATTGCACATGATCTACATTAGAAGCACTAAGATCCCCAAGTCTATTTCCTACAAGCTCCTTCCTTACTCTGCTACCAAGTCCCCATGACATCATCACCACTGAGTGGTGCTTAAGGCACTGAGTCACTGAACGGATACTTTCAGACCACATACACTTGTCCCTGGTAACAACTGGAAATATTATTGACCTCACGTGACCATTCTCTCTTCTATCCCAGTCAGAAAACACCAAGTGAACAGGGAGGTGGCCCACTATGTGGCTCCATGCCCATCCTCCCCAGTGCAGCACTTGCATCTGAAATAGTAAACCTTTGTCAGTTCCACATGAACATATCCACAGCACCTCAAGGACACATCATTATCTGCAAGTTGCCCTCACCAAAAAGACATTCAGATACAGGGTGCTGAGTTTTTCAAAGTAACAGCCCACTAAACTTCACCTTTCTAATATTTTCATGTGACCCCATAAGAAACACTGTTGTCAATAATAGTCCTATCAGACGTGGAACAGATGATTCCAAACTTCCTGTAATACACCACCTTCTACCTGCACTAATATCCCACACATTTGCCACTGAGTCCACTATCCTTCCTTTCTGGATGCTATCTCAGGTTGAGTCACAATTAAACCCATGATTAGCTTGATACCAAGCATTGAGACCAATGAATTCTCACACCACGAAAACACTCAATGCTCTCTTTTCTGATGTGGGGTTGGATGACAAAACAACATAAGAAATGCTGGAAATATTCAATGGCTCTAACACGATATTAGAAACAGAGAATTTATGTTCATTCATCAGACCACCCCCCAGCAGTGTATACACCGCCAGATACTGATCTGAAGAGTCATATCGGATTCAAAACGTCAACTCCATTTCAGTATCCACAGATGCTGCCGGACCTGCTGAGTTTCTCCAACATTGTTTTTATTTCTTATATCCAGCATCCACAGGTGTTTTGCATTTGTTCAACTTCTCTAACGTGCACTTTGTGAATATCCCACAAGAATGTTTGCTCCACCTTTGAAGATCATGGCTGATCAGATATTCCTTGTCCCCACTTTACCTTTTCCTCATAACCTTGATTCTCTTACTGATTTCAGAAAAATCTGTCTGTCCACCTCAGCCTTGAATATACTCAGCAACCCTTGACAGTGAGAAATTCCACAGATTCACTGCTCCTAGAAGCAGTTCCTGCCCATCTCAGTCATAAGTGGGCAGCCCCTTACTCTAGAGGGTGTGTGCTCTGATCCTAATCTCTATGAAGTTTATATTAATGCCATCACTTCATTTGGCCCTGAAGTGCACTGTGTGACAATTCCCACTTACATTGCCTTAAATTCAGCAGGTTGAGGATGTCA